GACAGCAACTACCCGCTCTGGGTTCAACAGAGACAGGGGAATGTTCCCCGGACGATCATGCACAGCACGAGCACCAGGCCCTCGGGCATCCCGGCCCGTTTCACTGGCTCCAGAGCAGGAAACACTATGTCCCTGACCATCACGGGGGCCTTGGCAGAAGATGACGCTGATTATTACTGTGTTGTGTGGACTGGGAGTGCTCATCACAGCGATACATTCAGATGGGGAAGTGACACAAAAATCTCCCTCCCCAGTCTGTGTACAGCACGAGCACCAGGCCCTCGGGCATCCCGGCCCGTTTCACTGGCTCCAGAGCAGGAAACACTATGTCCCTGACCATCACGGGGGCCTTGGCAGAAGATGACGCTGATTATTACTGTGTTGTGTGGACTGGGAGTGCTCATCACAGCGATACATTCAGATGGGGAAGTGACACAAAAATCTCCCTCCCCAGTCTGTGTCTGAGGTTGTAAGGAGAACGGGGGCCTCTGTTTGGAGCCTGCAGACAGAGTGGAACATTAGTTTGAAAAGCTCCAAACATGGGCTGCTTGTCTGGTGTCAATTCATGAATCTCCATTGTCTGAGGTGGGCCAGGGCAAATTACAGTCACAACTACAGTGCCTGACGCTGTTTCATTTGGGTCTCACCGCCTTGTCCAGGTGCCTGAAAAATCTTCAGCCCTAAAATCAAACACCAACTGATGAAAATACGAATGATATGCTCATGTGACCTCCTGAGATCTCAACTAGCCACAAGCAGCTCCAGGGCAAACACCGTAAGCTTCCCCTTCAGCCCTGCAGTGTGCCTGGGGCAGCCCTCACGAGACATGTGAAGGGCAGGCAGGCTGCAAAGGTGAAAGCAGATACTTAAATCCCCCCCTCAGTCATACTGTGCTCCTGATCCCCTGTTCTGATTATCAAGTAGCTGAAGAGGAACTCATACCACCCTGTGTTGCATTCTAATTCTCTGGCTCCCAATCAGAACCCAGGTTCAAATGTGGGGAGAAGTTATTTAATAACTTTGCTCAAAGATACAAACGTTCTTCTCAACCCAAAGGATCAGCCATGCTACCAGGTCCATAGCTGACCCAGTTGTAGGACAGTTCAAGGCAATTGACTCAAGCCCCACACTTTGAAGAGTCCCAACCATCCTATCAACAGGACCCCTGGGGTCCAGGGCATCCTGGGTGATTACCTGAGGCTCCTGGTGTGGGGCAGCAGCAGAGAGGGTCCCCCAACTCTCACTGCAGCAATGGAAGCTAAAGTGTTCCAGCAACCTTCTCTGTTCTACCCTGCTGCCCAGCTCCCAGCCTGCTGCACTCTGAAGCAATGGGAAGCAAAGTGCCCCATCCTTGGCACTGGCAATAGCCCCACCACTGACCCACCTCTCAGCCAGCCAGCACCTATGACCCAGGCAGCAATGCTCAGCTGGAGGCTGGGAGACAGCACAGGGCTAGGTGAGGGGGGAGGGGGATCAGGCTCTGGGGGTTTCAGGGACAGGGCGAGTGCTGGACGGCTCTGAGGAACAGGGGCTCTAAGAGATGGGGAGTTGGCACTGGGGACCTCTGGGGCAAAGCTAATACTGGGAGATTCTGGGGTCAGGGCTAGTACTAGGGATCTCTAGGGGGTCGGAAGCTAAAAGAGGTGGGGGGCTGACATTGGGGGCACCACCGGGATATCCAGGATGGGTAGCTGGCACTGGGGGGTTCTGAGGGTGGGTCTAATAGTGAGGGGCTGTCACTGGGGAGAGTTCTGGGTGTTGGGTAGTGGGACTCTAGAAACAGGAGGCTGGCACGGGGGGTAAGACACAGGGGGCAGGCACTGAAGCATTTGGGATGGGGGTCTTGTGCTGAAAGACTCTAAGACTGAGGCTTTTGGAGGACTAATGAATATGCAAATATGTAAATAAAATGCTGCTGGTCCACCAAAAGTTTGTGAATGGGTTTGCCGGTCCCCTGTATAAAAAAGGTTAGAAACCACCTCCGTATATATCAATAACTCAGAACACAAAGGTGACAACCATAAACACATTTATCTTATTTGGCCTCATCACTTTTTGGCAGATATCTTACATGGCAGACTGCTCAGGTTGCATTTTTATATTAATAGCATCAGTACAATCACAAAGTGTTCTTCACTTTCCATATAGCACCACAGCCCCTTCCCAGCAGCCTGGGGAAAAGCCACAACTAGGGCATTGCTGTGTTACTGGGAGACAATTCCCCTGCCAGAGAGACTCCCCTGTCAGTTAGCATGAGGGCTCAGACTCTTTCTTGGCCAACAGAATGTGTCAAGCAGGAATTACTGTCTCATTATTTCCCTGTGCTCCCCTCAGTCTGTCTGTCTGTCTGTGTCTCCACCAGGTGTCTCTTGTCTTTACATGGACTGGAAGCTCTCTGGGGTAGGGACCACTATGTTATTCTGGGTTTGTACAAAGCCAAGCACAAAGTGGTCCTGGTCCATGCCTGAGGCTCCCGGGTGCTATCCAAACCAGGTACTTAACAAAAGTGAATGAAGAGACAAGCCTCCCTCTTACAGCTGTTTCCTGAGTAGCTCTTCCACAGGACCACTGACAGAGCCTGAGATGTGCTCTGGGCTAAGCCTGTAACATGCCCCTGGGAGGTGTCTTATGGCAAAATATTTGCTCAGTCACAGACCTGTCACTGCGCCAGAAGAGGTCACTAGAGCTGCAGAAATCATCCCATTTCTGGTCCCTTGTCACAGAGGGCTCCCCTCTCTTTGGACAGCAGCATCAGGCTTGCAAAGTCTTTGAATCAACTGTGGACACGGCTGGCTGATGTCCCTGTTAAGCCTCAGTTCCCTGGCTGGAGGAAGGGCGGGCGGGGGTGTAATACCAAATGTGTGATAATGTTACTATTGTATTAGAGCATGGGTTCCCAAACTGGGGGGTGTGCCCCCCTGGGGGCATGAAGAAATTCCAGGGGGGGCGTGAGGTGACTCAGTACCCCCCTATCAATCACTCCCCCCCAAGTTTTGCTGCTATTTTTGTTTCTCATCTCCCATCTTTTCCTTTTTCCCCCCCTCAACAAGTTTTGCTGCTATTTTGGGTGTGTGTGTGTGAGGGTTTCTCAAAAATCAAAAAGGGGGCGTGATAGAACTAACAGACGTTAGTTCGAATTAACTTTGATAGGCGCTACACATGCAAACCGCTAGTTCAAACTTAATTCGAACTAGCGGAGCGCTTAATTCAAACTAGGTAAACCTCATTCTACGAGGACTAACGCCTAGTTTGATTTAAGTAGTTCGAATTAAGGGCTTTATAGCCACTTAATTCGAAGAAGTACCGCTAGTTCAAACTTAATTCGAACTAGCGGAGCGCTTAATTCAAACTAGGTAAACCTCATTCTACGAGGACTAACGCCTAGTTTGATTTAAGTAGTTCGAATTAAGGGCTTTATAGCCACTTAATTCGAAGAAGTGGGAGGCTAGCCCTCCCCAGCTTGCCCTGGTGGCCACTCTGGCCCACACCCGGGAAACTCATCTGCC